TGTGTGTCTCTCTGTTCTGTTCCATTGATCTATGTGCCCGGTTTTGTGCCAATATCATATTGTTTTAATTACTATAGCTTTGTAATATAGTTTGAAAGTAAGAAGCATGATGCCTCCAGATTTTTTCTTTTTTAAAATTTCCTTGGGTATTTGGGGTTCTGTGGCTTCACACAAATTTTAGCATTGTTTGTGCTGTAAAAAATACCACTGGAATTTTGATAGGGATTGCATTGAGTCTATATATTGCTCTGGGTAATATGGATATTTTTAATAATATAAATTCTTCAAATCCCTAAGCACAGAATATCTTTCCATTTATTTATGTCTTCTTCAGTTTGTTTCACTAATGTCTTGTTGTTTTAAATGTACAGGTCTTTCACCTCCTTGGCTAAATTTATACTTAGGTATCTTATTCTTTTTGATGCAATTGCAAATTGCATGAATTTCTCTTTCCGATAGTTTGTTATTAGTGTAAAAAACACAACAGATTTTGTGTATTGATTTTTGTATCCTGCAACATTACTGAATTTATTAGTTCTAGCAGTATTTTGATAGAGTACTTAGTGTTTTCTATATATAATATCATCTCATCTGCAAACAGTGACAGTTTTATTTGTTTGTTCCCAATTTGGGTGCCTTTTATTTCCTCTACTTGCCTAATTGTTCTGGCTAGGACGTCCGATACTAGGTTGAACAAAAGTGGTGAGAGTGGACATCCTTGTCTTGTTTATGATCTTAGAGGAAAAGCTTTTAGCTTTTCACCATTGAGTATGAGCCAGCTGTGGGCTGGCTATAAATAGTCTTTATTATGTTCAGGTACATTTCCTCCATACTCACTTTGTTGTGAGTTTTCATCATAAATGGATGTCAAATTTTGTCAAATGTTTTTTCTGCATCTATTGAGATGATTATATGATTTTTATCCTCCATTCTGTCAATGTTGTGTGTCACATTGACTGCTTTGTGGATATTGAAACATCCTTGGATCTCTGGAATAAGTTCCACTTGACCATGGTGTAAGACACTTTTAGTGTATTGTCATATATGTTTCGATTTACTCATTATGTCTTCTCCCCCAACTAGAATGCTAGAACATAATCTCCATCAAGACAGAGACTTTGCTTCGTTTATTACTCTAGTATAGTGCCTATAACAATGCTTGCTATATGTAAGCACTCCAAAAATATTGAATGTGGGACGCCTGGATGGCTCAGTAGATTGAGTATCGACTCTTGGTTTTGGTTCAGGTCATGATCTCAAAGTTTCGTGAGAGCCCTGCATCAGACTCTGCACTGGCAGCACAGAGCCTGCTTGGGATTCTCTCTCCCTATCTCTCTGTCTCTCCCTTCCCCACTTGTGCTATCTCTGTCTCTCTCAAATAAATAAATAAACAAAAAATATTGAATGAGTGAATGAATGAATGAGCAGATCTACAAGGGAGCAATAAACCACAACATATCCATCCTAAGAGATTTTATGGAGTCATTAGAAACATTTACAAAAAAAAATTGTAAGGGGAAAGCATACACAGTAATGTTAAATGAAAAACAAAAGCAAAAACAGAAGAGATAGAACTACTTCAGCCAAGAACATAAGCTCACATGGGGGAAGGAAACAAAACAAGTTGAAAGGAAATACCCTAAAATATTTACAGTAGAGTTTGGGTGGTATATTTTGGCCCCTTGATTCTTCTGCTGATTGTGAAGAAGCCTGGAAGGATTGGGATAGGTCATCTGGTTCAGGCGTACTATAGCCCTGATCAACTGTAAAAAGCAAAATTAGATGGGCTTTTCATTTTACCAAGGAAAGAAGGTCAAACAGAAGTCAAGAGCACCTTAACATTTATTCCACACTCATAAAGGCCATTATGAGAATAACAGGCCATTTGAGACAGGGAAGAAACTGATAGTGGTAAAATAAATTTTTGCCTCCTTTAGCATATGTTCACCATCATTTCAAGGGCTTCCAGAATTTCAGGACTTGCCTAAGTCTGATCTGAACCACAAAGCAGTCTCCTACCTTCTATACTCTATCTAGGTCTTAGGAGATGACTCAAGATCAAAAGAATCCTCTTGAGTCCCTCATGACATTAGACCAATTTTCTGGCATCCTTTCTAAAAGCTACAAGTAAAGACTTGTCATGAAATGTGTTGTAAAAGGGTGATGAGAAAATCAACCAATTAATCCATTAAACATGAACACCTATTTTGGCTTAGAGAAGATACAAAGGGTTAAAAGACTCACCTTGACTTCAGAGAGCTTGCAATTTATTCCAGTTGGTAAGATACATAGAAATTGGATGGAAATAAATGTGGTTACTGCTAAATGAGATGTGAAGATGAGAAGGACAACAGTAATTCTGAGAAGGGAGAAGAGAAGGAGTTAGGGACAAGCCCTTCCAAAAACTTGGCATATGAGCTGATCCTACTTGACAACTGGGATTTAGACAAGAAGAAAATAGGTAAGGAGTTCCAATAGGCCAGGCAAAACCAGTATGGGTAAACAACAGACAGCACATCTGGGCCCAGGAACAGGCTCTTGTCTTAAGAGCGTTTCAAGTAAAGCATTTCATCAGAATTATATCAACATATTCATTTTATCTAGGTAAATCTTTGTCCAGTTGGCAATGTTAAATCATTAACAACATTTATTTCTTTTCTTTTTTGTACCTGTCAATCCCTTTCATCTATTTCACCGATCCCTCTGCCCCCCTCCCCTCTGGCAGCCACTAGTTTGTTCTCTATAATTATGAGTCTGTTTTTCTCTGTTGTGTTTTGTTGTTGTTTGCGAACAATATTTTTCATTTGCAACTCATTCTTCCTTATGAATTATTTCTTTTCCTTGAACAATTTAAAATGAAGGTAAGACGGGCTTCCTGGATGGCTCAGTCAGTTAAGCATCTGCCTCGTGATTTTGGCTCAGGTCGTGATCTCACAGTTTGTGAGTTTGAGCCGCGCATTGGGCTCCATGCTGACAGTGTAGGGCCTTCTTGGGATTCTCTCTCTCTGCCCCTCCCCTGCTCGCTCTCTCTGTCTCTCTCTCAAAAAATATCCCCTCAGACATTCTATAAATTTCTCTGTTGTCCAAATTGTGATGCACATGGACTGAAAATCCAATTCTTCTATACACTTCTGACTTCTTTGTGTCTTCCAAAATAAAGGTCCATACCACTGGTGGAGCAAAAGTCCCGGCTGCAAGCAACAGAAACAGACTCTGGTTGATTTAAAAGAAAAGCATTTCTTAAAAGGATCTGAGGGTAACTCACAGAATCACCAGAGAGGGCTTGAGAGCCAGACCAGAGCCAGGAGCACTGGCTCAAAACAGCAGAACCAGTCTAATCTGGCTACCCTGACTGCTAGAAGCACCAGGCTCCAGATTTGCTCTTCAGACTCTCCTGGCCCTGGACACCGGATGCCAGGAATCAGACCAGCTGCAGTTGCCACCAACCACCACTGTGGTCCCTGTTTCTTTGCTTCCTTACCTCTCAATTTTAGAAGCTTGTGGTGGGGATGTCTGAGTGGTGGGGGTCACATGCCTGCCTTCTTGCTGCAAGAGATCTTGGGGAAGCAAATGGAACATAGCTCCCACCCAGGAGATAAAGGTGGAGGAGCTCTCCAACAAGGGAAGGGGCGTCATATGCCAGGCTATCAAAAACAATGATAAATGTCCAGTAGAACATCAGAAGATTAGACAGAAAATATCCTGCCCCGTTCAGTGGAATAACAGATGTAGCAGGGGCCACAGATCCTGGACCTTTATTTGGGGGCTGTTCGCCACAGAACTCACACATTGACTTCCCTGTGTTCCTCACCACACAGCCAATTATCCGTGCAGCTTCTCAGGCCGTAAGCAAGTTACAAAATGAACCAAATGATCCAAAGTGGAGATGCATAGGTGATCCTCTTTCAGGAGTGGCTTTTAGCAAATTTTATAATCAAAGTGTTTTCTATATCTAGCAAGCATCCTGTATACTGCAGTGGAATAACAAACAGAATGCTTTCATTAATGTTGCTGCTAGAGTACTTGAGGCATTCAGATTTAAGTGGGTAACTGCAAAAAAAAAAAAAAAAAAAAAGATTGGCTTTAAATCAGAGTGTTTCTCTGAAGAAATGTTTTTAATAGCTCTCATTTCGATATGTATTATTTCATGTATTTTTAAAAATCATAGAGCTTAAATTAACATCATATAGTCATTTATATTTAGGGATACTCGATACTAAATGTAATCGTAAGTATTTTATGTGTAAGACACACGTGGCAAATAAAAACGATTCTCGATATTAGCGAATTTCCATAGCAGCACACAGTCACAGAGCTATTTTTTATACAACCCAAAGTCCGTGGAATGCTAAACCTTAGGATTTAGAGTGATCTTCATGGTCCTATGCTCAATAGAAGCTACTGTTCCAAGCCTCCAAAATACAAAGTATTTTAGAGTAGTCATAAAGACAATTATTTTATAGTGATAGCTTTCCAAATGATTTCTCATGTCCTAGATGCTGGTTCCTTCTGTAGATGTAGAGTTATTTAGTCATTTCCTCATGTATATATATACATCCTTTGGGGATAATCTGTAGTTCAGTCGGCCCCCTGAGCACACTCTTCATCGCCCTCCTTCAGGTCCCTAAACGTAGCTATTTGGTCTCTCCCCATCTAACCAAGATGCTTCTGGTGCAGCCCAGACTGAAGGGTGAGCAACGGACTAAGGGACCTCAGGGGAGAAGGGGAGCAGTTTCCTTCCAGAGTCTTGAGTCTTCCTAAGCTTTCCGATGTTTAGTGGTTCACGTCAGAATTCTACTGAAGGTTAGGCAGTTGTTATGGGGATTGCCACAGTTGAAATCAAACGGCTCTTGGAACCAAGAATTCAGGAATTCAGGAACTTTTCAGTGTTAATTTGGAGTCATGGACTACCACAACATCTATCATTCTACCAGGGTTTTCTTTCAGTGACTACTTAATGGGAGTGTTTATCTCAGCCCTGCATTTCCCAAACAGAGCTATTAATCAGACCCATCTCTATATCCACTGTGAGTGAGACAGGCATAGTTCAGGCCTTCGGGCTTGCCAGGAGGGCAGTAAGCCACTTGTTTTTCTTGGCAGATATCTTTGTCTGCATGTGGTTCCATCTCTTCTTTCCTCAGACCACAAGATTCAGATTCCTTGGAGCCTAGAGGACCCTCAGAATTTCCTTCACCTTGGCTACACTCTGTAGCAAGTACCATATAGTTTAACCCTTCTTGGTTCTTGGTTTCCATTAAAGCAACTGACGTAACGTCACCTGAATTCAAACAGATCACACTGCCATCTTCATCTGTGAAAAAAAAATGTAAAAGTTACGCTAGTATCTATTTGACTTCTGTATCTGTAATATACAGACTGTACAGGAATTGTAACAATGCCAACCTTACGCATGGGCTCAGCAAGCATTTATGAGGGCCACCAAGAGAATACAAAAATAAGCAAGACATGCTCCTTGTCCTTGAAGCTATCATAGTCTTGTAGAGGAGCAGAAACATTACTATAGACGACAAGGTGTGCTGTATGTAATAAAGGAATATGTAAAAGGTGGTGAGAGCTCAGAGATGATAACTCTACCAAACTGAACAGGTCACCGCCTTGGTGATAGGAATTAAGTGCCCTTATGTTGGCTTTTTTGTCTGAAGTGCTTACGTTTCCATCCCGCTGGCTAAAATACCCCCCTTTAAATTGAAGATTAAGTAATTTAGTCATTTATTAAGATAATATTTATCGGATGCCTACCACGTGCCAGGCTGTGTTCTAGGTATCGATGAGGCAAGAATGGACAAAACAAAGTTGTCCCTCTTTGGGGTTTACATTCTGATGGGAGGAGACAGACAATAAACTAACAGACAGCTAAGCCTATGTCAGGGGGTGATGAGCACTATGAAGGAAAATTTGGCAGAAAAACGGAACGAGAAAATAATGGTGGGGGTGGAGGGGGCTGCTATTTTAGATGAAATGTCAGCGAAGTCCTCTCTAGCAAGGTAAAATTCAAGTAGAAACCTGAATTAAGTGAGAGAATTGGACACGTGGATATCTGAGGGAGAACATTCAAGGAAAGGAGAACACCAAGTATGGACTGGTGTGGCTGGTCCCCCTCAACTATCTCCCTGGGATAAGGTGCGTTAATACTAATTAGCAAAGAGATACACCAGCATGCTTATGACCTCATAGGGCTGACAGGGAATGGGTAGGCCTGGCAAGTTTTGATGACAGAGTTGAGGGAAAAGGAAAATAACATGAAAGATAATAGTGATTATTATTGTTGTTGTTAACATAGAGCACGTACTACATACCAGGCACTGTTCTAAACTATATACATATAGGGGCGCCTGGGTGGCTCAGTCGGTTAAGCATCCGACTTCAGCTCGGGTCACGATCTCACGGTCCGCGAGTTCGAGCCCCACATCGGGCTCTGGGCTGATGGCTCAGAGCCTGGAGCCTGTTTCCGATTCTGTGTCTCCCTCTCTCTCTGCCCCTCCCCCGTTCATGCTCTGTCTCTCTCTGTCTCAAAAATAAATAAACATTTTAAAAAATTTTAATAAAAAAAATAAATAAATAAATAAAATAAACTATATACATATATTTACTCATTCTTCTATTAAATAAATGCTAGTATTATCCCCGTTTAACAGTTAAGGAAACTGAGGCACAGAGGGGCTAAATAATTTGCCCAAGGTCACACAGCTGTAATTTGAATCCAGATTGTGTCCCCATATTCACCCTCCCCTGTGGGAGGGCAGAGCTGCTGTTCTCTGTGAGGAGGAATCAGGTGGGTGGGCAGTGTGCCCTGTAGGAGTCCTTGAAAGACAGACTCTGGACATGCGTGTGTGGGGTCAGGGCGGCAGCAGAAAAATGGGCAGCCAGAGGGTAATCGGCCTTCTTCACAATTATGCTCATATTATTTTGTCTTCTTTACTTAAAGACTGACCTTTTTACAGAGAAAAGTACAAGAATTCTTGCTGAAACCTAACAGCAGAGCTTCTGAAACATTTCACAAGATTCTAGGTAATCAAAAGGGACAAATACACAATCTAAACATAAATATATAAATGTGTATTATGGGGATGGTTTTTGATCACTGCTTTTCAACTTCTGAGTGTCAGTACCTAAAAGAAAAATTTATGATCAGAAATATTACTGTTCTTGGGGATGCCTGGGTGTCTCAGTTGGTTAAGCATCTGACTTCAGCTCAGGTCATGATTTCATGGTCCATGAGTTCAAGCCCCACGTAGGGGCTCTGTGCTGACAGCTCAGAGACTGCAGCCTGCTTCTGATTCTGTGTCTCCCTCTCTCTCTGACCCATCCCCTGACTCGTTCTCTCTCTCTCAAAAATAACCATTAAAAGTTTTTTAAAAAGAAATATTACTGTTCTTTCAGAACATATCGTATTTTACAAATCAGAAACATTTCAGGCCACAGATGATGCTCCTTCCTTTGTCCTTATCATCCTTCCAGCAAGAGAGCATCCAAACGTGCGTCGCTAAGGAAGGTGACACCTGCATTTAGCCCTGATGTACACCCAGGCTGGGTTTATTTGGAATGAATTTAAGTGGAAATATGAGGACAAGAAACAACTTCAAAGGACTAAGGGAGGCACCATTATACCTACTTTTTGCCAATGGAATTTAACGGATCCGCATATTTATCAAGTTTCAAACCTGACCTGCGAAGCTTATCTTATTGTAAGAGCTTGTGAACTCTGTCCCTGCTCTTACTAGGTGCATGTTTCTTTTGCAGAACTTCCCACTGGGCTGAAGGACACAATGGCTGAGCTACAGGCTCACAGACTCCTTGCCATCATTTCATGTTCCTCTGCATCCTTCAAACATCATCATAGCATATTGCAAACCACACGGATAGTCACGTAGTGTTATAAAATATCTGTCCCATAGAAATAACTTTATCAGGTGCCAAGGTTCGTTAATGCCTAAGTGCTGAATATCTATGGAAGCATCCTGCTGTTATGATTATGGTCAATGTGTACTAAGAGCCATTGAGAAACTCATAAGAATAATTTCCTACATATGATAATAGCAATCAAAAATATCAAAAAGTGATAGGAAGAAATAATAGATTTAACTCTAAATAGTCCAGTGACCCAGATTGAGGAAAGTAGGATGTTCCTGAAAGGCTTAAAGAAATTAGACTAGGGGCACCTGGGTGGCTCAGTCGGTTAAGCGTCTGACTTCAGCTCAGGTCATGACCTCGTGGTTCATGGGTTCAAGCCCCATGTCGGGCTCTGTGCTGACAGCTCAGAGCCTGGAGCCTGCTTCGGATTCTGTGTCTCCCTCTCTCTCTGCTCCTCCCCTGCTGGTACTCTGTCTCTCTTTCTCTTCCAAAAATAAGTAAACAAAAAAAATAAAATAAAAAATAAATTAAGCTAAAGGAAAGTTTAGAAAACTTCAAAACTAAAACTACAATATAGGTCTAACTGCTCATGTTATCAGACGTTTCATTTTCTTAAGTTTAATTCATTAAATAGCATACTGGGAAACTTTCTACCAATACATGAGTTAAATTTTTTTTTTGCCTCTTGTTATTTCAAAAACAATTTTTATACAAGGCAAATAAACTCTTCTTACAAATTCTGGCACCGTGTGTCAAAGAAAAATCATTAGCTAACTACTCCACTGGTTTATAGTACTTAGAGCAATATTTAGTAACTTGACCCTGGCAAGCTTTCAGCAATTAGTACATCTTATTGCATAAAGAACTTATGAAAGATGGTGGGGAGGAGGGTGTTTTGTTTGTTTATTTTTGTTGAAAACGAAATAGAAAGCCCGCAGTTCAGACCTTAAAGCAGAGATCCTGAGCAAAGATAGCATGTGCTCAGCAAGTCTTTCTTTAAGAGGGAAATATTAAAATAAAGACTTCCAAGCAAGACAGGGTATTTACAGACGAGACATATGCCGGCTGACTGGCTATGTTTAGAACAGCAGAGGAGCATTTAGATTTGTTTCCTGTAGAACTCTCTGGGACTGATGAGGTGATGTTTACAAAAATGTTTGGATGAAGTCACTGGGATATTTTTACTAGATGCCCAGATACGTTACTAATCTTCTCTCCCTATCCCCTCTCTACCCCATTAGGTCAGTAGGACCATAGGATAGGCATGGTATTATTGCTCCTTGTAAGCCTACCCCCCCTTTTTTTCCCAAAAAAAGTCTTTCCAATGACTTTCTTATCTTCTTATGTATCTCCAGTAATAACAGTCAAGACAGACGACATCTTCCTGCTTTGCTAAATATGCCCAGCAGTCTGCAGGGCAGTAAACTATTATTAAACACATTCTCTCTTATTAAAAAGGTAATTAAGTTTAGGCTTCCCTTGAAGGCACTGTCTTGTGATTTCTATCCTTTGCAAATATGCAAACTCTGACTGGCAGTCTATTTCTTCTCTCTGCCCCTTTTGCTCAGTCGTATCTCCACAACCAAAAACTTTAGTGATTCCCATATCCCTTTCCATTCCTTATCTTCTGGATTTACATTCATTGTAAATAACGGAACAAGAATTTCTCTTCTACTAAAATTGAATTTCTGTCCTGGCACAGAATTGCTTGTTTCTGGCTAAATTATCCAAGTTTGGTTATATTCCCTGTTAAGCTCTTCCTGCTTCGTTATTGTGCATGTTTGTCTGCTTCTGTTTTTTGAACATTATTTAAAATTTTAATTCACTCTGCCAACCATGTGGCATCTAAATAACCAGGATAAACTGGTGTATCTTTTCTAGCAAGCCACAAGTCATAAGTTCTTTCACTACACCTAGCTGCCCAGCACACTATTAATAACAAATTGGGGAAAGTGTGTGGGTATGTTCCTCACCACAGCCATGTCTCTGTGAAGGCTGAGAGCAAAGGTTCTGGAACAGAAGCCATATACCAGCCCCACCTCAGCAGTATGACCGTTGGCAGGTTGCTAAACCTCAGTCTTCTCATCTATAAAATGGTGATATAATAATATCCATGTCATAGGGCTATTGTGAGGATTTAACGAGTTAACCCACATAGCACAGTGAATGACACATAAAAAGTACTAAAATAAGATTAGCTACTATGACAATTAAAAGCCATTCCCCAAAAAAGTTTTGTTCTACGTATTTAATGTGAGCATTGTTACTTATCTCGGCCTCACGGATGAGCTACGTAATGCAACATAGTAAAAAGGTCTTAAGTGTTCATAGAGACTTCTGGTAGAGGCTAAGGTAAAGCTCAGATCTCGGGCCCTCCTAAACCCATCATGGCAGCCTCTATGATTTTTATAGACTGTCGCACACGTTAGAAGGAAAGGATTCCATAAGTAAAGAGTGAGATTTAAAATACAAGTCAACTGTAAAATCCTTACAGCCCTCTGGAACTCTTTACTTCTGCAGCATTTGACCACTCCCTCCTTCATGAGCCTCTCTCTTTTGGATTTGACAATACTCTCTTATGACCTTCCTGTCCCCTTCTGGCTTCTCTCGGTCCACCATCTTTCTTTGTCCGTCGCTAATATATTTATTGGCTGTTCCTAGGTCCCATCCACCGTTCACCTCTCTTCTTATTTTATACACCCTCGTTGAATGACCTCATCTATACCCTTGACTTCAGCTACCTATATTTACAGGACAGACCTTTCAGCTGAATACTAGGCTTCTTCACTTATCCCACAACCAACTCCAACCAAACACGTGCAAAGCTATTCTTCCTGCTATGCCCCCCATCTTTGGAAACAGCACTACTCTTTACGTACTTTCACAAATCACTGGGACTCACCATTGTCTCCTCTCTCTGTCACTCAATTAGATGCCAAGTATTATAACATCTACCTCTGGCCTTCATTTCCTCCTCTCTACACCTATTATCATTCATTAATTCAGCTTCCATTAATTTCCATTTTTTTACCTGGTTATTTATGTACAACCACTATCCCTCCAATTTCATCACTTGCCATTCCCCCCCACCCCGTGTGATAAACTACATGCAGTTTTGTGAACACCCCCATTCACTGTTATCCCCTGCCTTTCTACATATTGTTCCTTCCACCCTGAAATATTATTTTTCTGACCTCCCTGCAAAACTCAGCTTGGAAATAACCTCTTCCCAGTGGCTTTTATTGACTCTCTGACACACAGTATGGATTTGGCATCCCTCCTCTGGAGGCCCACAGAACATGGATTCCCTCTCAATGGCAATAGAGAATGCCTCCTGGCTGTCTGAAAAAGATATAGCATAAAGTCATCGCTCCCTGAATCCTTACACATCATCTCACTTATAAGAAAAAAAAAGTATAAAAACTGACCAGAGAATCTATATCCCACTCATTTCTCTAGATTACATAAATTTTATCTCTAAATCCAGCCAATACATATATAAATATATATAAATGAACATTTCTGTCAATGGTTGTATATGCCTATAAAATATCTAAAAGCATATAACCAAATTACTAACTATGGCTAGCATCAGAGAGTAAGAATAGGGAGGAAGTAGGAGACTTTGCTTTTTAGTCTGTTTAGATCATGTTATATGCTTTTCAACAATAAACAAAAATCACTTTCATAACAAAGATCTTTAAAATGTAGACACAGTTATAAAATAATATAGCAAGAGGAGTTACTATGAGCAATTGCTGGAGAAGTTCAGAGGAAAACTGGAAAGGACTCAGGAGTCATTTTGACGATTGACGTAAAATAACATAGAAACTATTTTTTAAGCCCTTAAAAAGATAATAGTTGTGCTTAATTTTGGGAAGTCTACTAAAAGGATATTCACAAACAAATTCAAATCTGAGTCTTATCAGTTAAGTGCTGCTTGCAGAAGTAAGAGCAGTCATCTAGTTGTGAGGGTACCAAAAGTAAGAACGAGGCCAGGCAAGAGCAGGTTCAAATGGCGTCAGCAAAACACTAGGGATAGAGACATCATCCTATGACAAGGAGAGCCAATGAAAGCAGCACTCCTATTAAACTTTATATACAAAGTTAAAGAAACTGACTCTAAAGTTTCTCAAGGGAAAGAAATATTCTTGCCTCCTTTTTTTTTCCTTAAAGCAAACCCACTGGAATACATCAAATGTAGGTGCTTAACACTATGCCTTGCAACAAGTCAGTAAGTATCTGTTGAAATAATTTTTCAAAATTCTTACCGAATTGCATTTAGACAAATACGTTAAGTAAACACTTAGAAAATGAGAAGGACTTGATAGTGTCTAGAATGGGTTACAATCTGTTTTTCCTTATCCTGTGTGATCGTCACCCAGGCACGTGTCTGTACAGAAACCCCCAAAAGGCTGGGGCCGCTGCAGCAGTCGTAACCCCTCAGGGCTCGGTCACTGGAGGTGAGAAGACAGGTGCAGCCCATGTGAGACCATGAAGAAGGCTCAGCTGACAAGGGTTACGACGCCCGCTCAAGACAAGCACAGCCCTTTCCAGTCTGTTGCTTGGCTATTCATGTTAAAGAAGCCAAACCACCAGTTTTATTTCCATGCATGTCATGGATCCTAATTTACCCCAAATACGTATTCAGAAATACAGCACGCAAGACAAGTAGATGTTCACCCTGTGCTGCTTATTCTTCCCTGCTATTTATTAGTCAAGTGCATCACTCCACAGAGGTCTCACGCCCGACTCCACGTCGGTCTTCAGACTCTTGTAATCAGTTACCACAAACACTAAGAGGCCTGATTGCTGAGAGATTTCTGACTCATGGTCCATCTTGCCAGCTTTATTTTTAAGCAAAAATGTCTGCATTCACAAAGGGCCCTGCAAACATTTAATAGCTGGAAGGAGTTCTAGAGCAGCTGGAGAGGATCATTTGACAATTCAGTTTTCTGCAGCCACGTACACAAAGGTATGATAAATCTGATTTTGAAAATGAATTAAGTGACTGCTGCATTTTAATTCCATTTTGTGCTTTTCACTGAACTAAAAAAGGTTAGTCTGTCTATCCCAGTTGAATGGTTCCAAAGGATCATTGCCTTATTTACAAAGTTCCTAAAATTGTGGTATCAGACTAGACCTTCACAAGGCGTGAGCCACTACAATAATCCTAGCAAAATTCCTAAGCCAACGATTTGACATACGCACAGCAACATGGATGGGTCTTAAAAACATAGTGTTCAACGAAAAAGAAGAGAAGCTTTACAAACACAATAGTATCTGTGTGTACAAAACAGTACGCGTTTTGTAGCAAAACATACAAATGAAAAGATGCACATTAAAGACACTAGAATGGTTGCCTGGCAAGAGGAGGGAGAAACTAGAACAGGAGAAGAGGGAGATAAAAGGACTAAACAAACAAACAGGAGTGAAGCCCTGCATACACCAATGATCATGATGTACCATCAACTAACAGTCTATAATTAACTCAGCTCTGTACTTGAGGGTGAAACGGGTATGAGGGGTGGAGGGGAAGGAAAATAGATCTCATGAGAATATAGTCTAACATGTTCATTCTCCTCCTTACTATCTGAGATTGTAAAGTCCAGGGGCCATGTCACTATTCTTTACTTTTTTTTTTTAATTTAGTGCCCAATTCAAAATAATTTCCAGGGCCATGCAGGTGTCTCAGCCAGTTGAGTATCTGATTCTTTATTTTGGCTCAGGTCTTGGTTGCAGGGTCATGGGATTGAGCCCTGACTCTGGCTCTGTGCTGACCATGGAGCCTACTTAAGGTTCTCTCTCTCTCTCTTTTTCTCTCTCACTCCCTCTGCCCTTCCCCCGCACATGCATGTGTGTGTGTGCATTGCCACGCTCTAAAAAATTTTTTTAATAAAGAAATCATAATAATTTCCAAAGACTGTACAATGAATACATAGTACCAGTATATTCTTCTTCTTCCTCACCATAAAATGTCTTCTATGTATATATATACCCCCATTTTAACCTGTTCAGTTCAGACTAGAGAGAAAACCAGAAAATTCTGAAAAAGAATCAAACTTACATTCAAAGCCCTCATTTATGACTCCACTGGGGTCTGTTTCTTCTCTGCATTGAGAAATACTATTTAAGGAAACATTTTTGAATAACTGAAGCTCATCTTGTATTCTGTGGAAAGTAGGTCTTTGGTCAGGTTCTTGAGCCCAGCATTGGGTCAACAGATTCCACCTGGATACACAGGTAAAGGCACAAAAATAAGTGGTGATTGGAGATCATTAGGCAACCAGTACTGATAACCCAGGTAAGGTCATTTCAGAAGGCAACAAATTTCAGTTATTGCCAGTTTTCCATAATTAGTATAAATAAGCCAGAACAAAATCTTTGGTTTCCACTTAATAGTGTCTTCCAATATTACTACCTTTGTTAGATAACACCTTTCTTTCAAAAAGCCATTACTTTGAACAGTCATTAACCCAAATAAATAAATAAAATAGATTGTTGGAAAATGACTGCTTAACATGTAAGGGCACTAACAGCTATAGAAATTACTGAAGAATATGAAGACTTTACATTCATACATTGATATCTAGAACAAAATCTAAGATTACTCTAAACCACATAGATCTCTAGCGGCAGAACCCGAGGTAGAAACCACATTCAGTTCGAATGCTTTTAACTCCTCATTATACTGTCAAGTTAAGTAAGAGACTCAGTTTCCTCAGACATTAGTAGCTGGTTTATTAAACATTATTTTTTCCTTAACAGTTGTCTAAGAAATATCTGTGTAACACTCTTAACTGTGTTCATTCATTCAGCAAAGACTTGGAAACTTATTATATACTGGGAGCATATAAAGAGCTAGGGATGTGGTTGTCCTCATAGAAATACATATAGTAAATGTAAGAAGGTGACAAAAATTTACCTCACTACAACTCATATGAGCTGGAAAAAAAATGTAGTTTTTTTATATTGTCTGCTACTAATTAGGTCTTTCTTAGAGCCCTCACCTAGAAGGAAAAAAGTTAACCTCGTTAAATACAATGGTATTTAAAACCTGGTGCAATTCAATATTTTAAACAATCTTTTTAGGTAATGCTCAGTCTTTTCTGGATAATAAATCAACCTCTAATTTTAGTCTATTCCTACTCCCTCTGTCCTCTTCTAAAAGATGGTGGCAGGATATATGTTGGGTGAAAGTCTTACGTGACTTATGATGGCACAGTGAAAAATTCTTTGGACTGCACTGTGCCCTCCAGATCATTGCTGGTCTCAGAATAGAATGATCAGGAATTCAGTAAGGAGTGACTGGTCTGGCCCATTCTGCAGGCATCAGCTGCTATCTGCAGTCTCCGATTTCTTTACCTTTGTATCCTTCAGCTCCCCCCTCCCCCCACCCCACCCTCCCACTCCCCCACCTCCCCACCCCCGCCCCGTGAACTGGTCTTCCCTTTCCTCTCTCTAACCATAACCATCTCTGAGACTGCCTCATGCCCTGTATATGCTGACAAGGCCCAGGGAATCCCTACCTGTCTCTGTTGTGTGACTAAAGGATGCTCCTTGCCCTAATGTCTAGCTTTCAACAAAATGTCCACGCTGAATGGGAAACAAAGGAAGATGGGAAGTGCAACTTGACCTTCTCTGTCTGGACATGCCCTTCTACCTTACTCATGATGCTGGGTCTCCATGTCAATGGGATGAGGCTGGGTGGGGAGTCCCCAGCTCAATGATCAACTTGCCATCCTCCCAAACTGGGAGAGGTGGGCAGTTTTCCGCCTTTAGTCTAACTGAAGCTTACACAGAAGGTTTTTCAGGACCTAGATATCCAACGTCTTCACCCTCCGACCTCTATCTATCAAGGTCTCTTCTTCCTACACTTCCTTAGGGCTTCGAAGAAATGGGCTTCTACTACTCCCTCTTTTTAATTAGATTATCCTTATATAGAATTATAGGTTCTAGTCATTCAAACCTGGCATTTAGCATACTAACAAGAAGCTAAAGGATTCTAGATAACCACGCCTTCCTCCAAACCTGGCTTTCAAGTCTACTGATTTACTAAAAAGGTCAAGGACCCGCTTTTTTTTTTTTTTTTTTTTTTTTTTTTTTTTTTTTTTTTTTTTTTCTTACTCTCTGGAGCTAGAAGGCATATTGGAGACAGGGAGAGAAAAACTGGTAAAGAAATGTAAGATGGAAAGTATTTAAAAATATTAGTACTACTATATCAACAGATTACTATACAATTACAAATTACAAGTTCTAAAAAAAGTACTAAAGAAAACAAATGTGAGATCTAATTGAGATGGAACATTTTTAGTAAGTTGCTGTCAGAAGGACACTCTGAAAAGGTGACATTTAAGCCAAAGAACTTCGTAGGAAAATAAGATGCTAGTCACGGGAATAGGGTGGGGATGGGAGTCAGGGAACACATTAGAAGAGGGAAAAACATGTGTAAATTCCTAAATTAGGAAAGAACGTGGCTCATTTTAGAATCTGAAAGAAAGCCAGCTTGGCCGAAGAGCAGTCATTGGAGGGGGAGAGTGTTAAGAGAGGAGATCGGAAGAGGAAGGAGAAATCATGCAGGTCTCACAGGCCAGACTAGGAGTTGGATTTTATGGCACTACAATGGGAAGCTGTTGAAGGTTTTTAAGAAGGCATGATCTTAAATTCTTAAAGAAGTTACTCCAGCTGATATATGTGGAGAGTGAATTGTAGAGGGGAAAGTTAGAAGCAAAGAAGTTATTAAAGAAGACAAAGTGAGAGATCATGAAGGTATGGACTAAGGTAATGGCAATGGTAGTAGAGTAAGGATGTCTCCAATCACTAGATGACAATGACCAAGAAATCATTACAGGTACTGTACTCAAAGCAGCTAGTGTCTATGTTAGAAATTATAATGGAATCTCCATTCCCTTATAGTATGGTGCAAAGTCCACTTCTGTCTCATTTCTTGACAAGCACTTCAGGTCAGAGTTAGTACTCAAAATCAGAGTATTATGGGGAAATCGAATATTGGTCGATTTTCCAGTATTCACCTGACAACTTCACATATATTACAAGGAATTTACATTCTGGATACAGAATGTGAAACTTGACTCTATTTCTTAAAAATGAGAATCACAGCCGAGAACCTACCTTTTACATATTTCTTTATAACCTCTCATTTAAAAATAGGGATGATACAAAGATTTGAATGAAGGATGATTGGACTCTGACATAAAATAGGACAACTTATATGGAATCATGAAATTTAAACCAATATTTAAAGTAGAATCTTGAGAGGAGAAAGTCTAATTCACCACAGGAATCATATCCCTTCTGAAAATAAAGTTGTGATTCAAAGTTATTGCCAAAATGTAAGTAGAATCTTTCAAGACTTGCCATATTTTAGTTATGGAGTTTTTTTACTTATTTATTTATAAGGTGTCTCGTTTCTACAAAGGACTCAAGATACTTAATGAAGATTATTTAGGAGAGAAAAGACAAAACAAGAAATGGGGCGCCTTGGTAACTTAGTTAATTAAGCGTCTGACTCTTGGTTTCAGCTCAGATCATGATCTCACGGTTGCCGAGTTCAAGCCCCACACCAGATTCTGCTTGGGATTCTCTCTCCCTCTCTCTCTCTGTCCCTTGCCTTCTCTCTCCCTCTCTCTCTCTCTCAAAATAAATAAATAAACTTTTTTAAAAAGTGAGACAGAACAAGGAAAGGGAGAAGGAGGGAGAGTGGAAGGAAGAAAGCCATCCCTTCGGTTGCCAGACCTAGCTAGTCTGTTTCTCATCCACTCACACTACCCTCCAAAACTTCAGCCTCTTGTTTAATCCATGTAAAGTATTTAAACAGACTTTCCTCTTGTCTTTCTTCTATGGATGCTTTCATTTACATTGAACCCAATCATTATTCTAAACTTTCTGATGGCAAAAATATATGACCTGATAGTATATCAAATCTTCCTCTCCCACCATCCAGGAATGAACATGGAATTGCTCTAGATTAAGAAAAGAGGAGCTTTGTAAAGCAACAGCTATTTAAAAGTAAAGCGTACAACCTGTGCTCTGAAAGAGCATTAAGCTGGCAATGGAATGAAAAGGCTTTTATGAATTTAACAGCTTCTAAAAAATGGATTACTTAGGGTGCCAGGGTGGCTCAGTTGGTTGAGCATCCCACTCTTGAGTTCAGCTCGGGTCATGATCTCGAGGTTTATGGGTTTGAGCCTCACATCAGGCTCTGCACTGTCAGTGCAGAGCCTGCTTGGGATTCTCTCTCTCTCTCCTTCTCTCTCTGCCCCTCCCCTGCTTACACTCACTCACTCTCAAAATAAACAAAAACTTTTTTAAAAACTGGATCTCTAATATCTTTCAGATAAATTAATAACAACAACTATACGTTTGGCATCTGGTCTTCCCTCACAAATATGCACTTGTCACAATTCAATATCATGTATTCGATACCTGTACTAAGTTTTAGTTACAAATCTTCGAGAATGTTACTTAAAATAAATTTACAGGTCATTCACTTTGTAAAAATTTCCCTACCCTGGTTTTTCTAGCTAGGTAAAATACTCACTCATACTTGAAATATCTCACTTGGCTAAATGTTCAGGTTCAAATTCCTCCATTCACTATGCCAACCCTTTACTCTTCCTCGCCTCATGGGTTTTTAAAATAGCATGAGACTCATTAGCCATGTGCATTATTGGTCTCTGTGAGTATTAAAGTCCTTGAATTCATAAAGCAATCAAAATTCAACAGATGAAAATTTCATATCTTCTTTCAGTATTAAGGGGATGAATTCCATAGGAATTGAAACAAAGCACATAAAATACAGATTTGTAAGTATTCTCTTACTCACTATGCCCAATCCCAGAGAGACCCAGCTAGCATCTAAATGCACATATCTTTTAAGAGGTAAAAATAAGATGGTGAACCTTCATGTTATCCCATTGTTGCCTCCTACATATGAGAGACCCTCCAGTAATTCCAGTTGCCCCTCTGATACATCCATCACAGAACCCCAAAGAGCTCGCACTTGAAGTAGGTTGCCCTTTGATCCCGTTTCTTCTCAAGAGTGGTGTGGCTGTTGTGCAAACTGAAAGTTGAAGAGAGTACTGAGGACTGGGCTTTCCACCATACATCCCAGGCTACGGAAAGAAGGGCAGGAATGCTCTGAACTCCTGCATTCCATTAATAGCTGAGCACAACGTGGCCCTGTATGGACTCACCTGACCCAGAGTGCATCCAGGTGCTGAGCATTTAGGCAGTGAATGGAAGGTGCAGCATGGCTCAGTGAAGACTTTCAACCCTCTAAGCTGGGCCTGTGATCTCAGAGAACTGCTTCAAATAAAAATCAGTTCCCTCTGTACTCTAAGGAGAGTAGTTAATCTTTATCATGACAACTTAAGGCCACGGCCAGATTGAATGGCATGGCTGAGAGATCCATTTCCTAGCACAGCTTGTTTTCCTGGTTGGCAACAGATCCTTAACCCTTCCCAGGGCTCTGAGAGCATGTAACACTCGGGGGTGGGGGGGGTGGGGGTGGCTGGGAGCATTGTTGACTTTTTAATCACAGATGTTCAAATGAACTTCAAAACCAACAATGGAAAATTTTGGCTTTAAGGAAACTATATTTTTATAAAGTTACAGCAATAATGTGTTCAACCAATGAATTAGTCAAGATAAAGTTATGTAGAATATTAAGTTATATATTTATATAAGCTATATAAATATATGCTTTATAAACATATAATATCAGTGTTGTGTAGAGTATATGTTTCTGCCTATAAACAGGAATGTTCTTCTAAGCAATTTTCTAGGATCTCTTCCTCCTCCTTCTAGTTGCGTTTTGGGATCCATTTGGGCAAAGTCCAACATACCTACATTTTTCTGCTCCACAACCGCCATGTAATCATCCACCTCCATCCTCCCCATAATAAAGGTAGGTATGATTTGCGTCAATCAAAATGTAGAATTCTGTGATTGAATCCTAAACTGTCTATCCAATAAAATTGCGTCATTGTGATGAGGTACCCTCTAGGGGGGAAAGAGGCCAGATAAAATTCTAACGGGATAATGCAAATTTTGTGCAATTGAAATTCTGGGGAAAATTTCTGAGCGTTTGGCAGATATGTAAGAGCTGCACAGCAGTGGTCAGTTTGCTACCTAATAAAAATGTATTTCATGCTTAGGTATGCTGGGGATTTCCTCAAGCCCTAGGTCAAAGGCTTTCCATTTTTGTATAATTTCTTACTTCTAATTTTGAGAATTTTTTCTGTCTCCCCCAAAAGGATCACAAATCATTTTTAAGCACTGTCGCCAAACTTGGTCAGGTATGTGTACGTCTGATCTCCCTGTAAATGTCCCAGTAAAAGCTAAATCAGAAAGAAGCAGTGACTCAAATATTCTTATTCCGACTGGAAGATTTAAATAATACAAAACCATTCACCAGTAGAACATCCAACCAAGGTTCTTAATCATCTTTTGGCTCCAGTCTGAATAATCCTCTAAAATAACACAGCATAGTCAAGGCAATACAACCACGGTGTGTATCCGCATACTGCTAATTCCTTTTGCACTTCTCTGTACCACACAGTTTAGCACTTTATTACGTGTTGGCTTGTTATCCAACTGTTCCATGTGTGTTTCTTCTCCTTCAAAATACATTCTGAGATGCTGAAGCCCTGGGGCCATTAGTTAGACACCCATGTATTCCAGACAATGCATGGCATGGTACTGTGCACATAACAGAAGAGTTTATACTTGTTCAGTACTTGTTCCTTTCCAAACATGTCTTGGAAAAAGTTTCAAAACTTGTTTATTTCTGCTGACGTTCTTCACAAGAAGGTAGATTACTACTCAGCAAAATAACTGAGCTTATTTTTCTTTTGTAATTAGATCAAAATCACCTACTCTCCTGAGAATCATGAATTATTAGACTTCAAGAGGAGCCAGGATCAGTTTGATAGAGTCACTAATACTTAGTCACTTTGAGCTAAGTTCATAAATAGATCGCAACCTGTATAACTTTTAGTAGTACTATATCCCAATATCAGCTGCACCAACAAAGGCAATCCAACTTTTAAACAATATATTCCTCTTTGATGGAATCTCTTAATATGCAAATAAAGATATTAGCCAAATTAGATCTTCCAAAGTCAAATGAGTATGTGTGTGTATCATACATACACACACAAGCCTTTTATTTATTTATTAGGATTCATCTCTCAAAAGTATAAATATATTCTATGCTTCTAAATTTTGTTTCTGAAATGAAATATCATAGATATATATAAAAGAGACCATCATGTATTTAGTAAATTAAATGTTACAATCAACTTACATTTGATGTAGACAACACAAATATCCAAATTCCAGTTTTTATTTTAAAATACCATGCCAATGAGGCATAAGATTGCATAGGCACATGTGGTTTTGTTGTTGTTTTTAGGTGTTTATATTAGCATAAGTAACTTACAAATCATCAGGACAATTTCTCGGTGGCTGCAGTCTCCCTCCTGTTTGCACATAGTTTAAAACATCAAGGTTGGAATGAGCTGGATAAGGCTGATGACCAAGAGTTAAAATCTCCCAAATCAGAATTCCAAAAGACCTAAGGATGTTAAAGAGTTGACTTTAATTCTACTTACTACAAGCATCATGTTTACAGTAGTTTCTCCAATGTAACTATTCCTGGGGCTATCCGGGTCTACTTTGTGATTGGCATTATTGGCCCCATAAAAGGCAAATGGGAGACTTAAAAGCAAGTTAACCTCAAGAAAAAGTAGAAAAAGCAACTGCCTACTAGCAATACTTCAAAGGTGATAGGTGATAGGAAGGCTTAGTGGGGACACACACGCGCACACACACACACACACATTTTTTCCTTCTCCCCAGCTGAAACTGCACCACAGACCTCCACTAAAGGTTTGCATAGCATCAATATGCAGACTCACATGGGGATAAGCAAGAAAGCAGTTCACCCCTTTCTCCCTGACTTTGAATGCTGGTAAACGTGGAGGGGAAAGGCATGAATGTGAACTGGCCACACTGGGGACCAATTTTATCTCATCACCAATTTTGTCCATGGCCAGTTCAGCTTGAAAGTCATTAAACAGGGGCGCCTGGGTGGCGCAGTCGGTTAAGCGTCCGACTTCAGCCAGGTCACGATCTCGCGGTCCGTGAGTTCGAGCCCCGCGTCAGGCTCTGGGCTGATGGCTCAGAGCCTGGAGCCTGTTTCCTCTTCTGTGTCTCCCTCTCTCTCTGCCCCTCCCCCGTTCATGCTCTGTCTCTCTCTGTCCCCAAAATAAATAAACGTTGAAAAAAAAAATTTAAAAAAAAAAAAAAGAAAGTCATTAAACAAATCTTTACATTTTGAGTAGCTCTAATCAAGATTTGGGATCAAAAAGCAAAAATGAGGGATCCTATTCTAATACTAAAGAGATGTCCAAACCTCCTCAATGTCATAATGTTTTTGAGATGCATGATTTAAAATCTACCTATAAATTAACGATCATAAATGCCAAAAGAGTAGGCATTTGGACATATACTTGGACATCAATTCATATGTACCAATTCGTATTAGTCATAGCCTCTATGCTTTTGGACTGTGATAAAATACTTGAAGTAAATGTATATATTTCACATATACGTGTAAGTCAACGGATCAAAACTAATTAGGGTGAGAAGGGAAAATGTTGAGAACCAGGAATAGTCTCACCAGGTTAGATGACCTTTTAAATTCCCTTCTGGCCCTGACATTGGGTGGTTCTGCCCAAATTTCTCCGTGTCCTGTTAAACTCACCATACGTCAGACTGAGTAGTGAAGATTCCATCCATCAAACTTTCTGGAGCCATCCACCGAACGGGGAGTAGGCCTTCCCCTCTCTTTCTATAATAATCATTTTTATAGATGTCCCTTGCAAGTCCAAAGTCCCCAATCTTCACTACCCGTGATGGACTGGTATAGTCTTTCACAGAGACAAGGCAATTCCGAGCTGCCAGATCCCTATGGCAGAAGCTATATTTAATAATGCTAAGAATAAAGTTCCAGAGATCAGACAAGTAACCCAAGTCGGTCTTTAGAGAAGGGAGACTTTTTACAGAAACGTTTGCTATTTTGAAGTAATGAAAATGTTTAATTATCCTACATGTTTTACCCAAACTGCAGGTAATTGTTGTGCCGATGTCCGTAGGAACCTTGTATCTAGAATATCACTGTACCTGTGAATGAAGTGCATCTGTTCCAAGTAGACACAACCTTTTGAAATATCCACACACAGATCTACAAGGTCAACCAAGGTGAGTAAAGGACCATGAAACTGTAAGAAATGAAAGAAAAGTTACAGGTGCTTTAACAGTTTGTACAAAACATATACATATACATATGTACACACACATATGTGATGTCTCAAAGGTATTTTTAGTTATGGTTACAAGAATTCAAATAAGGAGTAAAAGAACTAGGTTTACATACTTTCTACTGAAATAAACATAAATAAGACTATTTTTACTAAGCAGAAGCAATATCGGATCTTTATTGGAAAGATCTCAGGGTGTCATGTCATACAGACCAAGATTTGAAACCTAGTTCTGGTACTTACTAGTTGTGTGAACTTGTTTACATTGTTAAATTCATTAGGTAACTTTCTCATTTGTTTTTTTTTTTTTTTTTTTCAACGTTTATTTATTTTTGGGACAGAGAGAGACAGAGCATGAACGGGGGAGGGGCAGAGAGAGAGGGAGACACAGAATCGGAAACAGGCTCCAGGCTCTGAGCCATCAGCCCAGAGCCCGACGCGGGGCTCGAACTCACGGACCGTGAGATCGTGACCTGGCTGAAGTCGGACGCTTAACCGGCTGCGCCACCCAGGCGCCCCGTAACTTTCTCATTTGTAAAATGGGAATAACACTGACCATATAGGATTTGAGATAAGATATGTAATCTGGCTGGTATATAACAACTTAATAAATAGTAGCTGCTGTCCTAAGTAGTAATAATGCTAATTTAATCAGTACTAGCTAGTTTAGTCATTGGCCCAATGTCACACTGTAATGTCAGTCATGACAATGGGCTTGTTTCTCAGGTGAACCCCCATCTGTTAGCAATTGTTAACAATACTCTAGTTCAAGGTCACAGATCACTCCTCTCCTCCATGACAGCCAGTATGAATATATAGTTGAGCCTATACTGCTTGCAATGATTTCAACATGAAAAAAAGCCAGTTGAAGTTTTTATTGGCACCACATGGAAAAAATTCAATATTCCTTCCTCAAGGTTACATTCATATATTGTCTTTCCCTTGCCATTTCCCTAAAATAACCCTAGTTCAGGCCTTTATCGTTTCTATCTGACACATCCCAAACTTGTGTCCAGCCTCTTGTGCTTTAATCAGCCCTCTTCGTTGTGACCTACTGCCTGTGGAGTCTATTACAGGTTCCAAAGCACAGCCTCCATGGCAGCCCTGGGCTGCACCAGTCTCTTTTTGCCTCCACTTATGACCCTAGTGTCTCTTCTCACAATCTGTGCTTCAGTCATGCCGGGACACTGGCAGTCCTTTATCCCTGCCTCTAGCATTTTCAACCTCTTTGTCATATGAATGATGTCAATCATTTGTATACAACACCCAGTGCTCATCCCAACAGGTGCCCTCCTCAATACCCATCACCCACCCTCCTCCCACTCTCTAACCTTCATTGATTTAATTTTTAAGAGTCTCTTATGTTTTGGCTGTCTCCCACTCTAACCTCTTTTTTTTTCCCACCCCTCCCCCATGGTCAACCTCTCTTCTTTAATTCTGCTATCATTCTAGAATGCCCTTATTCTTGATTTCCATCCACATCCTTCATTGAGCACCTCAAATGATTCCCACCTTCCCTCAATTTCTCTTAGATGAGTGCTTTTACGTGCTGCTCCCCCTTGCGTCCCCCAACAAGCCCATGTCTTGTCCCAAAACTAAGAAGACTCCTCGTGTTCTTGGACTCAACATTGCCATGGTCCTGCTCAACCGTACCTCAATCCAACACTGAGTCTTGATCTTACTCCCAAGAATCAATCCCCCCACAACACTGTTTGGGTCCAGCAGACACCAGACACTGGTCTCTTGGCCTATGTCTGAGTCCCTGCTGGGGTTCCCGACTGGCTCATTGGTTCCTCTGTGAGTGGAAGCCTGCTTTGCTATTGGCAAAACCCACTCTACTGAAGATGTTCCTCACTTTGAACCTTGCTTCTGAACTTCAGTGTGGTGGCTAACACCACGTTCCCTGCCAACGGGTTTTTAGAATGCTGCTTGCCTGCCTCAATCTCTATCACTTGCTCCTGATAGCCCCTGTGACAACCTGTTGGGATACCCCCATGTTGGGTCTCCTTGATTCCAGATGCTGCTGCTCTGGGCTCACCTGTCATCTTTCTCTTGCCAGCCTCCCCCTAGGCACATTCAACCTCCACCTGGGTCTGATCCTAGTCATGGCTTTTCATGACTCACATGGGAAGGTATAGTTTCAGAGACTGTTCTATCCCCTACTTTAGTTGTGTCTCAAACAGAAGACCTCCTCCATGAAGCCTTCCCAGGACTCCTCAGTTGGAAATCATCTCTCTCCTCTGTGTTCACAGTATATTCTCTATTGCATTCCAGTAGGCCCTCCCACTTTCTATCTTAAATGAGTTCTTTATATTGACTTACCTCCCTACCATGTGGCAAGGTCTTTGAAAGAAAGAGTCACAGCCCTCACTATTGTATAATAAAAATGCAGCAAAAAATGGATAACTTGATGGTATCTGACTACATATTTATACTGTTTTGATGGGTTGGTTTTTGGTTTTGTCTTTTACTTTCTTCCATGTGAATATAATCTTAGGATATCAAAGCTAAAAAATGCCTGAGGACGTTGTCAGTTCAATACCCCATTCTAAAGACACAGAAACTGAGGTCCTGAAAATAAAAGACTAAACTAAGGTTTATGGGCCTACTTGCAGTCAATCTTTCTGTATTAGACCCAGCACTGTAGTCTCGGAGCAGGGCTAGGCAGAAGGATGCTTGCGGCCCTTCTGGAATGTTGCCTCTGAGCACTTCCTGTGGAGAGAAGGCTGCTTCCAAATGAGCTGAGCATGATGGGAACATAGAGCCCGCAGCGTTCTGGCACTCGGCACCTAACAGCATCCTGTTGTCTGGCTGGGGTGAGGGCAGTGAGGCATGGAAGCTGTCCTGGGCTGGAAAGGCAGTGGAAGAACTCTTGAGGACCAATCAGCATAACCATCAGGCCCCTGACTAAATAGGAATAATTTGGAAAGAGCAGGTCCATATTTTTATTTAGTCTTTATCCCCTCTTCTCTACCCAAAACAAACAACATCTACAGATAAACTTCTTGCTAAAGATGGAGGACTCAGGATGTGCATTTTTAGTTCTACTCCCTCCCCAAACCTTACTACCATGGCAATATAGAGGAAATGTGTATAATCACACAAGGATAAATGTATCAGGAAACTAGATTTAGTGCACGAAACATTTTGGGAAAGGGAAGCAGATGGAAGGGTGGTCATTCAGCAGAGCCAAGAGAGAGCCTGGTTGCCTGCAGGGGGGAAGACAAGAATTAAGCTGTGTTTCACTATAAAACCCCCTAAGGCTCTGCAACTGGAGATAGCAGGTATCTCTGGATGTAGGGGTGTGGGGCAAGGCTGGAATCAAGAGGAATGTTTAGAAGTATACTTTAGAAGCTAACTAGATCCTAGACCCTCCCATGACAGCAGGAGGCTTTCCTCTTCAAAACACACACACACACACACACACACACACACACACACACACACTGAACCAGAACAACTCCACGTTCAAAGATACCAGTCGCACTAAGGCTCTGTGCTGAAAATGGAGAAGAAAATTAAACATGAGTCCAGATACTCAGCCTTGAGACCTCCACCCCCTTCCCATCTCACCTCCCTGAACTGAGGCTTAGGCATTTATCACTCAGGCAGGAGACTAGCAGATTCCCCTCTGGTGAACCTGGCGTGTGCCAGGAAAGACACACAAATACTGTCATTTGAGGATTAGGGAGACCCCCAACGAGAAAGCAGGGTCCCACATAACAACCAAAAGGAAGCTGCCACAGACACAGTTTCCAGTCAACTTCTTAGGCCTCACTGTCAAAGAGGAAGACCAGCCACAAATCACCAAACATTTGAGGAAAGCTTCTCACATTACAAAAAGATTCCAGAACAAAGAGGATAAAGGAAATCAGGACAATGCAGGAAGCAAATTAATACTTAAAAAAAACCATAATTAGTATCTTAGGAAAGATTAGAGAAGACTTTTCACCTATGAAAAAAAACAATACTATTTTAAAAAGAATGAATCTGTGGAAAATTAAAATTTTTAATTTTATTTAAAAATTTATGGAAATCTACCAGAATTGAGAGCAAAGATACAAAGATGTAGAAAACAGGAGAAAACAACTATAGAACAAAGGATAAAACAGAGGGTTTTTCTAGAACCAATGGTGTTTCTAGAACAAGGAAGCAGAGGGGACAAAGAATTTTATTTATTATCCCAAAAAATAACATAGGGGCGCCTGGGTGGCTCAGTCAGTTAAGCATTTGACTCCTCATTTTGGCTCAGGTGATGATCTCACGGTTCGCGGGTTCAAGCCCCACATAGGTCTCTGTGGTGACAGCACAGAGCCTGCTTGGGATACTCTCTCTCCCTCTCTCTCTCTCTCTGCCCCTATTACACATGCTCTCTCTCTGTCTCAAAATACATAAATAAACTTTAAATAATAACAATAATAATAATAATAGTAATAGTAATATCCCAGAACTGAAGGAGGTGATTTTTCCAGGGTGAGTGTCCAGATTGGTTAAAAAAAAAAAAAAAAAAAAAAAAACTACCACACATAAGAAGTTCCTAAACTTCTCCAGAGAGGAGAGGCAAAAAGCAGGTCACTGATCATCAGTCCAGGAATCAGAATGGCATAAGACTTCTTTTTTTTTTTAATGTTTATTTATTTTTGAGAGAGACAGAGACAGAACACAAGCAAGGAGTGCTTCTCAAAAAGAGGAGGGGAAAGGAGATTTTTCCTTCAGATGCTTGTTTTCTCATGCTTTCTCTCTTCTAAAAGAGAACAAAGAAGTCATGGAATAGGGGAAGGTAAGGTCCAGCAAGGAAATCACCAAGGTAAATGTGAAGCAAAGCCCTGGGATCACGGCTAGTCAGCTAACCCAGAGGACAAGCACCACACTGCCTCTAGGAGGAAAGTGTGCAAGAAAAACACCATTAGGTGCTGGATCATGTGATATATTTAACATATACATTGATAGAAGTGTTACAATTCTGTCCAAGAGTTTAGTTAGGTATACAGAAAACTAAGCAAAGGGGGGAAAACAAGAGGCATTTATTATTTTAGCCCAAGGGGGGAATAAACCCCACAATCACAGTATTTGAATAACTCAACTGTAAGTAATTGTCATAGTAATGTAAATCTGCAATACTGATTTATCTGAAAAGTGTGACACAGTTTTTGATGGTTGGAGCTGGTGGGGTTGGGACTGATAATGAGTAAGTCTAAGAGAGTTAAAGCCTCACCTCTCATAGTAGGTAGTCAGTAGATTTCCCCCAAGACTGAAAATTCAATGTGCAGCAGTATAAACAGGGTTTGTAGGAACATGAGGTAAACACCAGAAGAAATTGGACAGATCTGGGATGTGGGGATGAGATAGTCTTTCTTTCTTTCTTTTTTTTTTTCAATGTTTATTTATTTATTTTGAGAGAGAG